CGTCCACTGTGAGGGCCTACGCCACGAGGTGGAGGCTATTCAGTGTCTGGTGCGATTCCCGTTCCTGGGATCCCAGGTGTTGCCCGCTGGAGGGGGTCCTGGGATTCCTACAGGAGCTCTTCGACAAGGGGAGGGCTGTCGCTACCTTGGCGGTGTTCGCGGCAGCCATTACTTCGGGTCACGACGGATTCGGGGGGTTCACAGCCCGTTCTCATCCGTTGGTTAAACGTTTTCTGCGGGGGGCGCGCAGGAGGAGGCCCCCGCTCCAGAGAACGCCTCCGGTTTGGGACCTCAGGGTGGTCCTTAGGGGGCTGTCGGGTCCGCCTTTTGAACCGGCGGCGGGAGGCGAGGCCCGAGTGTATCGCCTTTAAGACGGCCCTCTTGCTGGCGTTGGCGTCTGCTAAGAGGGCGGGCGATTTGTGTGCGCTCTCCGTCCATGCGTCTTGCCTGTCCTTTGGAGAGGACGACGGCATGGTGGAATTGTGGCCCAATCCGGCTTTTCTCCCCAAGGTCATCACGTCGGCCTTTAGGTCGAGAGTCATCAGGATTAGGGCTTTCCATCCGCCGCCGCATGCCTCCCCCGAGGAGGAGCGGCAGCACCTTCTGTGTCCTGTCAGAATGCTGAGGCATTACCTGGCCATGACGTCGTCATTCAGGTCGGGTGGTCAGCTGTTTGTGTGTCTGGGCCCCAAGAACAGGGGCGCCCCGCTGTCGGCTCAGCGGCTGGCGCATTGGGTCGCCACGGCTGTGCGGCGGGCGTATCAGACGCAGGGTCTGGCCCCCCCGGTGGGTTTCAGGTCGCATTCCACGCGTGGGATGGCGGCCTCTACGGCCCTTCTCAGGGGGGCGTCGGTCGAGGACGTCTGCCGTGCGGCTTCTTGGGCGTCGTCCTCCTCTTTCGTCCGGTCTTATCTTTAGGATGTGTCAGACCGGTCGGTGGCCCATTCCGTGCTGAGTGCAGCGGACTGAGTTAGACCGTTGGGTCCCTCCCCTGAGGGGGCCTTCGGTCTATTTCCGCCCTGGTGCAGGAGCTCTTGGGAGAGGCATCCTACAGGTGCGGTACATTTTTGTGTGTTTGGTCGGTCTGGTAGTCCACGTCAGGAGCTCTTGGGAGAGGCGTCCTGTGACTACGGATGACCTACGGCTTGTGTTACGTGGGGGTATCCTTGGTAGGAGTGGCCCCGTAACACGCTTGTTTCTTCTGCCCTGAGTCCTCTCACGTTGTGAGGGTCTTGCTCGGGCGGAGCTCCAATCACCCTTCGCTGGCCTGCTGGGAGTACATTTTCCTACGGCCTCCGCGTTGTGTCCCACTAGCGAAGTCCTAAGGGACGTAGCACCATGACGTAGAATTAATAGTTACTTAATGTAACTTAAGTTCTACGAATAGGTGCGTAGTCCCTTAGCTACGAGCCCATCAGGCCAGCCCGGCTTGGCAAAGTTCAAGAGGGGGTGCGGCCTTGTGCAGGGGCATTTATAGAGGAAGGTGGCTGGTGATTGGAGCAAATTATTTTGATCTCTCTGGCGTGTGACCTGGGGGTCACGAATGATATCCCACTAGCAAAGTCCTAAGGGACTACGCACCTATTCGTAGAACTTAAGTTACATTAAGTAACTATTAATTCCTGTTGTCTGATTACCTGTCCTGCCCTCATGCGTCAGAAGGTTCCATCATTCTGTCATGTAGGTGAAATTAAATTAGCCTAAAAACGCAGAACTGAAAAATAATGGATTTAATCAAAAGTAAAACAAATCCAAATCCTGCAAAAACACAGGGAACGAGGACAAGAACTAAAACAGACGAGGAAAGACAATGACGGAATCTGTGAAAGGCGGCGTATAAATAACTTACTTACTTACTTACATGAAGGCAGGGCAGGTAATCAGACAACAGGAAGCACAGCCTGTCAATATAAAATTAAAGTGATCCTATAATGTGCACTTCTTTTTATCATAATTGTTTCTACTCATGTCTATTTCTCATCCTCCCTTCAGCCTGTATGTTGTAGGCATCACAACAACACATCATTCAGAATGCACATACAATTATATAAAGCCTCTTCATATGGCTCTATATGCAACACATTGGAGGTACAGTACGTGGAGCTGAGGAGATACCCCTTTGCCCTGATCTTTTACTGCTGCGTGTCCAACATCTACCTGAATTTATAGCGGCGTGTATGTGATGCTTTGTACTGTCCCATTTTATAGGCAAGCATCACTCACACGGATAGCCTCGACTTTCTCCAGAGCCACTCATTAAAGCTGCAGTGCTGAGGATGTGGGCGGAATCAGAAGAGTTTGGTGGAAAAACATATGGGAGCAACTAACGCACTGGCCACCGCTAATGAGTTTGGTCAGGAAGACTTCACTGCAGCGATCTAGGACTTGGGTTAGAATAGTAGAGCTTAGTATAGCGTATGTTAAAGTCCTTATAGGCTGAAGGGGAAATGGTTTTGTAAATGACCCTGGATAAATAATTTAAAGTTTTATAGGCTGTGTTCATATAAAATGGTGCTGGAACAATGTGTTGAAATGCAGTGTTGACATGGATCTACTCAGGGAAAGGTAAGTGTGTTGTCTATTTATTTATTTTATGTGTATTTTTTTCTTAGCAGGAATGAGCCTTTAGTCAGAAACAAATAAAAGTAAAATTATCTTTGTAGATTTCTTTCAGGAAGTGGTGCCAATGTCATCATGACTTTTTGTGGATAAGACTTCTTTCAAAATTTATGAAATTCTAATCCTAGAACGTGACTTTATCCTTAAATAAAAATCGTACTCACAAACATGTAGGTTTTGAAACACTGTAGCAGGATGGGCTTTGAGAGTTGTGACCCAAAGAATTAGTACACGTGTTTCAATATTCAGCTTTTATTTCAAAAAGCAGACCAGAGGAACATAAAAGAAGCCAGTCAAGTACAACCAATGTCATTTCAAAGGCAACAAAACAAAAGGTGGTAAAGACAGAAGGCCTGATGATATGTACAGCAGACATCTTTTTGGTGTTGCAGTACCAGCGAAAGGCGAATGGTCGTCTTCAAACAAGACAAAAACATACATGTCAATTCAAAAACAGAGAAGGTTCTAAAGTCAGCTAAGGCACACAGAGCCTCCCCGAGAACAAATGTGAAAATAACCTGGTGAAAACGTGAGACGCTTGTGCAACAGTTGCTCAACAATACATTCCAGCAAGAAAAACAACAATCTGGATCAGATTCACAGAGGCGCTATCCAAACACCGAAAGATTATGTTGATCAATAAACACCATTTAATTTACTTTGTGTGTCCAATTACTGCGACACTTGAAAAAGCTTTGAATAATTCACCATCTTTTAAAACCACATCTGTATTTTACATCATTGTACAATACTCTTGAAACAATAATTCATTACAAAATCTTTATGTACATTTTTATCAGTTAATTGTTTTGTTACAAAATAGGACTTCCACAATAATAATGCATCTTCTCAAAAACTGTCTGTGGAATTGTGTATTTTCCAACGGTCGTGTTTATTTAGCATGAGTAAAGTGACACTGCATGTTTCATGGTCTCTGTCCAGCGGAGGAGGCAGCAGCAACAACAACACACCTGACGCACACAAGGTGAACTTGACAGTAATGAGCAGTAATGTCTTTAATTAGGCTGAACCTGGAGTCGCGCCACAACATAATGGACTTCAGCCCAATGATTTAAACTCACACTAACAGCGACCTGATGATGTGCTTGTTCCAGCTGTTCCGCTCACGTCCCACATGTCCAGATTGTCTTGATGGCTGAACTGCAGATGTGAACTCAATTGAAAAGGTGCCATAACGTTATTTAGTGTTCAGGAGCAGTAATATTGAGAGTCTTGTTATTGTCACATTGAAACCCTGTCGTCGCGTTCATTCAGTGAGACGTGTGATGTTGCCGTCTTCTCGGTTTGGTGACGTTGTTAGGTAGCTGACCTCGTGGGCCGAAGTGAGAGAACACAGACTGACACACAGGTGCGGCCGTAGAAAGATTGGGCTGTGTGCCTTTGTAAATAAAGGCGGCTTTCTTTACAAAAAATATTTATCATGCTGCCAAGGCAGCGACACACTTATTTAGTCACTGACTAAACTTATCAGTACTCATATAAATTTATAAATAAATACTCATGGACTCTTATCATTTACACAAATTTGAGACTTCTAGAATTATATACATCAAACACCATTGAAATAAGTGGAAGAAAGATACAAATGACAGGACAAAACAAAGTTTAAGGTCAGCTCGCGAGTTTCAAGTTTGAGGCAGTTTTGTTTCTTCGCCCCTGCCTGTCACATGTGGAATTTATTAAAGACACCTAAATGCTTAATGTCCAAATATGAAGGAGCCCCTATGAAACACTAAAGTTACCTCCATTCGATTTCCATTACATCAAACAGAAAACATATTCTTGGAAGGCCTCTGTATTTGCATTTGTCATTTCCATTTAGCTCAACAGCTCTGATCAGGCACTGAACTGAAACACACTGAGCTGCGGCCGATTTACTCTGTGCTGCACTCTTAAGTGTTGTGATCCCAAGCAACTATGTCAATAATGATTTTGAATGCCTCTGCAGAACGGCACATTTGAACATGTAAATATTGTATTCTCTTGACAACAGGAGGCACATTGCACTCCGCACCCCTCCCCCCCGCATAAACTACAGCAACTAAGGCCTTTCGCAGCAGGACGTTCTCAGCAGTGGCGAGCACACGGCCCTTGTCTGGCTCAATTCAGATAAATATTAAAGGCTGGATATTTCTATGTGTGATCACAGTAAAACTCAGCCAGAGGAAACAAATAAACAGACTGAAAAAGCCACGCCAGCATAATCCCCCACACAACAGTCCCAGGAGCTGACTGATGCATTACTCCACTTAACATCCAGACCATAATCCACTTCCTCTGGAGACAGGAAACGCAAAGGCCTGTCCCTGAACCCTTGAAATAAATAAAGTGTAACAATTCTCCTGCTGCTGCTGCTGCTGCTACCTGATGCGCCCGTCAGCGTGCGGAGGACCCAGGTGGGATTTGGGGTCCGGACTCATAGAGCTCCAGCGGCTCTTGGGACAGGCCTGCATGACGGGGCAGGCGCTGAGGCCCACCGCGCACACGTCCACAGCCTCCCACATGTCCCCCACCACACTGTCCACCCAGCGCTCCAGCTCCGCCCCGGTCAGAGCCGCGTTCCTCTTGGAGCGCTCCACCAGCTCCAGGCTCACGGGGATGTTCAGCACTGGGTTTAGACCGTGGAAACTCTGCTCCATGTAGCTGTTCTTTGCCGGGCCGCTGTGCAGCTTCAGGGCGTCCTCTGGAAGAAGAGCAAGAACAAAGCAGACAGTGTCATTAAGCTTGACGGTACTCTTAGTCCTATTTCAGGCTCCCTGGCTGGGCACAGAATATTGAAGTAGTTTCTTTTAAAAACTTTATTTAAGGGAAATGTTACCATACAGAAACATGCATTAGACAGAGAAGAAAATACAAAACAAACAAAATAACCACAAAAGAAATATTGGAAGTGTGTATGTTTGTGCGAGTGTGTCTGTGGGGTCGGGGAGTTGGGTCTATTAGTTTAGTTCATGATGTTATATCCAGTAATCTTTATTTATATAGCACATTTTACAGACCAAGATCATCATAAGTGTTTTACAATGTTCAAAGTTCAGATTAATTTCAATTCTTTCCACACACAAGAATGACAGAAGCGAGACGCCGAACAAACTGATGCATCAAAGCCCCAAGCCAACACCATCCATTCAAACCGGAGCACCCGAAGGAAACCTACACACGGGGAGAACATGCAAACTCCACACAGAAAGACCCTGGAGGTGCAATCCAACCCAGGACCGTGCCGCCCCTGTTCTGATAATATAGAGACTTTTTCCACTGTGATTGAACTGGTTTGGTCTCAAAGCCAACAGCACGTCTCCTGCTCGCCCTGATGGAGTTGTAAATTCCTCACTGCAGCTCGAGCCGGGACATATAGCCCACATGTTTCTTTTCGTGGTCTGGTGACGAGCAGAAGCTGTCAGTCACTGGAGCTCACTGCCTGTTGGTCAAAGACTGGGCTTTGTGTGCTCAGAGCTTGGTGTGAAAAATGGTGCTGGGGTGCGGCCACGTCCCCTGGCGCATAATGTAAGAAACGATAGCCGTAAGCGCAGTGGACAGAAGCCAATGAGAAATGAAGTAAAGAAACTAAAGAAAGATGAAGGAAAACATGTAAAGGGCTCGGACTAGGGCTAGGATTCAGCTGAAGAAGAGATTCGGACGTGTCTGGGGGACTATATGAAAATAAATATCATAGTTGTGTTTTAAACAAGAAGCCGCACTATTGATTTGAAAGACAAATATTCGTTAGTGCTAACCAATCCAATCCACTTTATTTATACAGAGCATTTTATAAAACAAGTTTCCAAAGTGCTGCACAGAGATAAAAAAAAACACATTTAAACATGCAAGTTTGCCAGCCTTATGTTTAAAAAAAAAATAGAAGAAAAACATTATACGCAAAGTAAAAACAATACAAATGTAATCATAAAAACAATAAAATACCAGTAAACAATAAAAATGTGATACAATCAAAAAAATACTAGTTATCTGATTTAAAAATAAAAACTATAAACAAATAAAAAGAGGATCACACAACTCACGTGGTATTAAAAGCCAGAGAGTAAAAAATCTGTCTTAAGACCAGAAGCTTCCAAGGCCATGACATTATTATTTGGGTGATCTCACATTGTAAAAAAAAAAAAACATTCATCTGTATACACTTCTGACTTTGCAGAAAGTATTAAAAACATCCTCTCTCTCAATAATGCGGCATTGATCAGTCTGGTCAGGTCTTTATGAATCTACATTTTTACTTCCGACAGTGGGAATTATCTATATGGGAGCAAAAATTACGATCCAGAAATGAAGCAGGTCTGTATTTAAAGTAACGATCAGTTAAAGGTGATGAGCGTAGGAAGCAAATGGGCAGATTTACACCAATGAAGTCATAATTACGTTTCATTATTCCGTTGTCAGGACTCAGTAATATACTCAGAGACGGTGGGACGTGGGAGGCCTGTGCTGCTACTCGTACGTTTCAGTCCATGAGGGTATGAGCGCGTTAGCCATGTTTTACTGACTGAAGATTAGAATCTAAAAGCGTGCTGTGGGTTAGGTACAGTGGGGCAAAAAAGTATTTAGTCAGCCACCGATTGTGCAAGTTCTCCCACTTAAAATAATGACAGTGGTCTGTAATTTTCATCATAGGTACACTTCAACTGTGCAAGACAGAATGTGAAAGAAAAATCCAGGAATTCACATTGTACGATTTTTAAAGAATTTATTTGTAAATTATGGTGGAAAATAAGTATTTGGTCAGTAACAGAAATTCAACTCAATACTTTGTAATATAACCTTTGTTGGCAATAACAGAGGTCAAACAATAGGTATTGTAGGCACAGTAGCTGGTATTTTGGCTCATTCTTCCATGCAGATCTTCTCGAGAGCAGTGATGTTTTGGGGCTGTCGCCGAGCAACACGGAGTTTCAACTCCCTCCACAGATTTTCAATGGGGTTAAGGTCTGGAGACTGGCTAGGCCACTCCAGGACTTTCAAATTTCAGGTCTGTGAGAGCCAGAAATCTTCCTTGTTTGAAGTGACCAAATACTTATTTTCTACCATAATTTACAAATAAATTCTTTAAAAATCCTTGAAGTTGAAGTGTACCTATGATGAAAATTACAGACCTCTGTCATTATTTTAAGTGAGAGAACTTGCACAATCGGTGGCTGACTAAATACTTTTTTGCCCCACTGTATATTTACGAGTCAGGTGCTCTTCTAGGATCCCTACACAAAAAGTTCAATTTGAAGAGGAATAAGAAGGTCCGAGGCAAACAAATCCTTTAATCCTCTTCAAATTGAAGATAAGAATGTATCTGAATGTTAATAACCACCACAGTGTCTTTATGTCTTTCAACCCAAAATGAATACGTATGTGGAGGCTTTTGATTTTTAAGTATGAATGAATCTAAATATATTACTTAAAAACAAGATGATTAATAACAAGATAGTATACGGACTATACAGTAATATTCAAATCTTTCATTCCAAAATCCCAGTTGAGTTTGGGCGTTGAATACTATTTAAAAAGTGTAATATATATATATATATATATATATATATATATAAATTCCTTTCCTTCACAAAACCACATATTTAATAAGTGTTTTCCTAAATTTATTTATGTATTTAAATTTACTCATTTTACATCACAATGGAAAAAGTGACAAGCTTACAGCAAAAACACACAATACTGATAACAGTGAGAATACAGTGTTGATTACAATACAATACGCAGGGAAGGTACAGCTGGGAAGTGTGTGTGCGTGTGTGTGTGTGTGTGTGTGTGTGTGTGCGTGTGTGTGTGTGTGTGCGTGTGTGTGTGCGCTAGTGTGTGATCCAAAGCTGAGAAAGGGAGGAGGGTATGAGTAGGTAAAAGATGTTGTGATAATAGCAGGAAGGGTAACGTATGATTAAATGATTAAATTAACTGCCCAACAACATGTATGTCTCTACGTAATAAGTGTTAAGCGCCGCGTAGTGGAGGCCATTATTATTTTTCCTTCAAATTCGACACATGGTCAGACATTTTAGCATTAAGTCAACAAAGAAAAGAACCATTATATAATGTAAATAAAAATACAATAGTTATTTTGACAGTTTGATTAAAGACCAGTGTCTGCTCCTCGGAGACACGGGTTAAAGACAAATCAGACTCTTCTTCATCTCTTTGTCAATCGAAGCGGCGAAATATTCAAATTTAGCATCAGCAACCCTCAAGTGACTTTGAGAATTAAGGGGAAGCTTATGGAGCGGTACAATGTCGTGGCGCCCGTTATCCACGCTGCCTGATTGATTTAATTGTGTCATTGTTTTGGGATAGCTAAGTGTGCTGTTGTTTAACACACTGTTTAATATGTATGAGCAGCTCTGCGGGTTATTAAGGTTGACTTGATGACAAACAACATGTCCTGAGAGACTCGCCGGCTTGATTAGAAAGGACATCTCTGCAGATACAAGTGCACTGACGCAAACGTATGTGCGCTCGGGCCGCTGCTGTTATTGTTTTCGATTGGATAATGGGCAAACAATGCAGGTAATTCATTCAGATAAACCCAGTTAGAGATTTGCCTTCACTTCAGGAACACTCATTATTGTACGTTTAGTGCATTTGAAATCTCAATATTGAGCTCAGATGAAACCAGTCCGCACACGTCCTTATTCAGTCAATGTCGCATCAAAGACACTGTTGGACTGGAGTCTGTGAACAGATGCTACTCTTTAGAAATAAAAATAATGAGTCATGAATAACAATGTATCACCATGAGTAAATTATGTGTACATTTGTTTAAAGGAGAATTATACTCCTTTCTGTATAGAAATGTGCGTATTTGACCTTGTTGTGACCCAGTGGCTGAGTGGTTAGCATGGTGCCTAGACCTACTTTTGAATGCACTGGAAACGGCAGCAAGTCCTAAGTAGCTCTGTAACCGTCTTTATTTTGTGTGCTTTAAAATGTCTATTTCTATCCCGAACGGGGTAAGGGCCTATTGCTTTCACAATGGTGAATGCAAATGGTGGCAGTGCGTGACGGTTGCGTGCGTAAACTCAAACGTCAATGTATCAAGTGCCATTGAAACCAATATTGTTTTTGCTTGAGAGACGTCAAAAAATTATTCTGCACTTCGACCCTTAATTTGACCCCCTGGACATGCATGAAAACTTGCCAAATTTTGCCCAAAATTCAGAACCGGCAAATGGGACTTAAAGAAATGCCAGAACAGCACCCCCTACAAAAGTCAGTTTACATTGCACCTAAAGGAGGGGGTCCGAGGTCAAGTTTGTTGTAGAGACACCAAATTCGGTACACATGTTCATCAAGTCAAGACATGATTTTTTTTATTATGGCCACGCCCCCTGAAAACAGGAAGCCCATAAATTTCATTGGAAAAATGAAGCCGTTTCACCGATTCGCCTCAAAATCGCTCCACATCATCTCAACACATGTACCATAATTTTGATTTCATAGAATGTTGATCACTGAAACGTTGTTCGAATTAATACATGAATCATGGTTAATGAATCCATTAAATGTCATTACCACTGGGGGATGTCATATCTCACAACCACAACCTCTTTTCAAACAAACCAAAAGAAAAAACCACTTAAAATTCCTCTCACTTAAATACACCATGCAGGACTGAGACATTACTTTTCACAACATAACTTTTAATTTCACTATCCACAAAGTAAAGCAGAGTCTTGTCTACGAGGCCAGCTGTTGTTTATGATAAAAGAGATTGTTCCAGTTTTGGATTTATTACAGAGACACAGAACTTCAGTCAACAATTACTCAGCTGGTTTAAAAGCTCACAATCTCCTCTGGCTTCTGTCACAGTGGCACCGATTTAATAACGCTGTAATAATTCAGGAAGCAGTCTCTCTCATGTGCGACAACAAAATATCACACGAACCACAAAGACGCGACCTCAAAAATTACAAAAAGAGTGGTGTGCATTCCTCTGCGACTGAGTGTCCACCAGCGACAAGAAAAACATAATATGCTCCTCGTGTATGGGTTATTACAGAGACTCCCGACTGACTTCCACAGTGCATCGGGTTTTATTTGTGGTGATGTCATTGCTGGAATTGCTCTTTCTGCCCAAACTGCAGATGCAAGTCTCACATAAAGCTCGAGTACCTAACTTTTCTCTGTTACATATGTTCAAATCCAGGTTAAAAACATTTCTATGTAGCTGTGCGTACAACTGAGGGATTTTATCTTCACTCTTTTTAATGTACTGTGATTAATTGTGATTTTAATGCCTAGTGTGAGTGTCTCTATCTTGTTTGGTTCAACAGTTTGTGAAGGAATTGTGCTATAAAAATAAACTTGCCTTGAAAGAGGAAAAATTTGAGGAAAAATGGGGCAAATGGAAGGTATACGTTTGCAAATCTCAGGACTTGCACAAGTTGTGACTGATGAATTGGTATTCGTGCTATAATTAACACAAAGTTTGCTATGGTCGAATTGTGAACATTGATGTTTTGAATGGTTCCTTACATGACTGTTTTGTATATGTTTATTTTTCTTTGTCAAATAAAAGTTGTAAAAAAAAGTAAATAAACTTGCCTTGCTTTACATTTGTCCCAACAGAAAGAGTACATTTTTGTGAACAAATAAAACCACAACATGCTACTTTTTATCTTATTAGAATTAAATGTATCTTCCACACACTGAGAGCTGATTGGTTGAGAGAGGGGTATTACTCCCTCCCTTGATAGAACCAAATGTTTTGAGAGCTAGGAAACATGGATTTTCAAAGTAAGGTAAGGTGTACTCCAGCTTTTACAACTCCTAATGTTTTGAGCATTCATGCAAATGTTGTTACTATTACCTGTCCAGGGTATTAAAGTGAGGCCGTGGGAAAAAGGGCCACAAGTTGTGCAGGAGAATTTCATGTAAATCCACCAAAACGTATTTTTAAAATTTGTATCCAAGATTTGTGTTGTTTTGCAGAACGTTTTGAATAAGATCATGAACTTCCATCTCAGAGTTATTTGTTCATCTAATGCATTCCAAACGTTTTAGTAAGATGGCTGCTTTAGTTGACAACCCGGATCATAAAAATGACTTTGATTTGGACTGTTTTGACATTAAGTATGATATGACCACATAGATTCACACCACAGCTACATTATCACCATTAGAATGTTATGAGACAATCAAAAATATAAGTCAGTTTAGACAACAAAAGTTAACGACTGGATTCCAAAATTTCTGAGCTTTACAACGAGCAATGACATGGCTATATTGGGGGAACGGAAGGTGGCTGGATGACACTGTTAAAGTGCCTCAATAGCTACTTGTGTTAGCAAGGCAGAGGGCCACAAAAAATGACACAGTGGGCCACATTAGCCTCTTAGTTTGGACACCCTTGGTCTAATGAGATGTAAATGAGCAGCAATGTGTTCCCTGATCCTGAACTGGGCTGGAAAATGGAAAACTTTGAGGCTGGTTTTTTGTGATTTCATGTGACCTCACATACAAATGACCACCAATCCTTCAAATAGGGTCATTTCCACATTTTCAAAATTTTTGAAAAGCTCAGAATGTGCACTTTCAGAATCTGTGAATAAATGAAAATGCCTCTGGGTGGACTTGTTCTTTCCCCTTGGCCAGTCACATAATGTAGCATCAGAGTTAACACTAAGCATACAAACCTGAATATTTATACAGTATATATTTATATATATATATATATATATATATATATATAATTTTTAAGGCTACTATTTTATTTGATTGTATTGCTGTATTGGGGACCAGACTGACTAATATGACAACATTTATGGACATTTATCAACACTTATGATTCAGATTCAGATTCAGACTGCTTTATTGTGTAAAGTCCTCCCATAACTACTGTTGTGATTTAGGGCTATACAAGAAAAATTTGACACGGTGGCTGGATGGTTCGAATCCCGATTTCCCTACCACTAAAAACATGCACAATAGGTATGAATGTAATGAGCGAGTGAATAGATAATGTGTTCGGTGTCTCAGAGAATGAAAAAATATCTGAACTCTGAACATTGTAAAGCATTTTGGGGTAACCTTGGTCTGTAAAAATGCGCTATATAAATAAAGTGTACTTATTAAATTGAATCGAATGACTTCCTCACCTTGTCTGATGGGCTGGTGCTTGCTGTAGGCCAGTGGAGCGATGAGGAAGCGCAGCTCGGCCACAGGGCTCCAGTGGTGCAGGATTCGGACGCTCCAAACGCCCGGACGCAGAGGCTGGTTCAGCGGAGGCCGATAGTGAGTGAACTCTGCACTGGCGTCGATCAGGATGTCGTATGTGGCGGCGATGACATTGGTCGGGTCGATCCAAACCACCGTCACCGTCACGTTCGGGCCTTTGTTCCATTTCTGCATCCCCACCGTCTCATCCATGGGGCCCATCAAACCCCCGAAATTCCTGAAGATTCGTTCCTTGGCGTCCCACTCGGTGCCGACCTGACAGGGAGAGAGTGGGAGAGAGGAAACAGGAAGAGCGCCGTGAGTGACAGAATGAGGTAAGAGCGAACATCAAAAGCTGAGTCGGGAAAAAAGGCTAGGAAATCATTTGACTGCTTTATACAGCCCACGGTGAATAATTAAGCAGCGACGTCTGAGGGGAAGACAATTAAATTAAGCAATACATCTGCTTAATTATCCCTGGGAATTATCTATGCTATACTTGCAGTACTCGAGCAGTCAAGGTGCACTCCTCAACCTCAACCGTCCCGTGTCCCGTTTATTGTCAAGTGGTTCGATACCCGCATTGTCAATAAAAGAATGGATCCGGGACTCCCATTACAAACTACTTGAACATAATAGACTGTGTAGGAACCATACAACTGAAAACGTGACCAGGTGAATCTTCCCCTTAATCCGTCAGAGCTGTATCCACATAGCACCAGCCCCTCACTGATCCTCTTGCAGGTCCAGGAGTCCACAGGGGCCTTGATCTTTCAGTGGGGGCTTCAGGCAAAGTGGGGTTAAGTGTCTTGCCAAAGGACATAATGGCAGTAGTCATCAGTGGGAGTCATGAAGTAGGTCTTGTGGTGGACTTGAACCCATGACCATCAGGCCCAAAGGCCAATACTCTACCAACTGAGCCACTGTCGACCCTGTCACAATCAGATATAATAAAAATAATTTTAAAAAGAAAATAATAATAATGATAAAATTATATCATACTTATATAGTTCTTTTTTGGACACACAAAGACGCGATATAGCTTCAGCTCAAACCTAATAGTTTCATACGTGCCCAACAAACATATGTGAGCTTTTCATTATTAGATAATCTTTCCACACAGAGAGCTCATGATAAGATAAGACAGACTTTATTGATCTCACACAGGAGAAATGTACATGTCACATTTGGCATGGATAGAATAATTCAGATTTGAGCAAAAGACAGAAGTGTGCAAAAATGTTAGAGGCAAAAAATATAGTCTGCTAAGTGGCAATTAAAGAAACAGTGGTAATAGCAGTTCAGGTTTTAAGTCCTAGCGCAAGTGACTTAAAGTGACTTATTCACATTATTTACCAAGCTCGAGTAATTATCTTCACAATGTTTCAAGACAGTAACTCAGTAGGGGGTGACGGTGAAGTCGGGTCCTGGTGTGGAGACCGAATGGAGATTAAAGACGGACGCTGCCCTATGGAGAGGTGGGATGCTTGGACAGTGACTGATGGAGGCCGTGAGTGACGTGGCTGCTTTAGGAGATGCTCAGTCTTACAATGGAGCTGATTAACACAGCTTCACCCTTGTGCAGGATCAATGCCTGACGGGAACAGCTTCTCTGTACCATCCTCAGAGAATACAGATTGCCACGTCCTGTATAAATAGCCTGCATAAATGAGACACATGGACGAGAGGGTGTGTTCTGCGGCTCTGCGTAAAACACTTTAATCTCAATTATTGGACCAACCTCTGCTATTTGCTCCGCACGGACCTGGTGTTTTCTCTTCAAATCGTTAATCAACTCGCTTGTCTTGTGTATAGCTCATTACTTCATTCGAGGCCATCTTGTCGGCCAGCTTTACATCCCGATTGACTGGCAGGAGTCTCGTTTGAAAGCTGAAAAAATGAAGACTGTATCGACATAGGATTCTTGATGTAATCCACTGAGAGGAAGGCTGAGCAATAGTCTAAAGATGTTCACATGCAGGAGAAAGAAAAGTGAGGGCCCTTCGGAGACTCAACTGCACATAGTTCATTCGCCAACATTCACCGGCAGAGAAAACACTAATTATATTCCGGCAGTGTCAAGGTTGGGTCTACATAAGCGTAGGAGCAGAATATTCAGCCAGACGAGTGGGCAGCCGCCTCCCAAGTCCACCAGCTCACAGCTAACTTGATGAACCACAAAGAGTACTACACCCGATAATAAAGGAAATATAAATGTTCCTTTAAAACATAGAATCATTTCAGACAACTCTCCGTCTCACTTTTGAAGGCACTCGTCAAATGAACAGGGCTCGTGCCGGCTGACGCATACAAAAATTTATTTTTTCAGATTTTCCAGCCCCCCCGGCCATTTTGAAACTGCCCATTGACGGCGGAAGTGGTGGCACGTTAGTTTCAACGACGGAGATAGGCATGACTACGTCTGTTAATATTTACAGTCTATGGTTCAAACCTCGGCCATTGAAAAGGTTTTTGTATTTTATGTTCAGTTATTTAAATGTGTTTTACTTGTTAGTTCTAATATGTGCCTGACCACTCAACACTTAACTGTAATTACTTTAAGTAATTACAGTTAAGTGTTGAATTGAATTGAGTTGAATTACTTTAAGTTCAAATATTCACTTTCTGAAGCCAAAGTTGGACCACCTTTCCTGCACTATGAGAAAGTGGGTCAAACTGGGATTAACAGAGTGATCCTGTTCACACTGACCTCCAAACCACTGCTCCTTCTGCCAATAAGCTCATAAGACTCAATCACCCTTTGCTCCGTATGTACAGTATGTGAAGTATTTGGTGAATAGAGGTGCGCAACACTGACAAAAACATCATGTCAACATATCATGTTGACATGATGAATATATTCATATTCATCAGTTGTATGTAAAAATAGCATTTAAAATGTAGTGGTCTATTGCATGAAATATGAACCTAATATAAAACTAACCACTAATTTACTTTATATATGTGTTTAAAGATTATTGCTGTGTGCTTAATTATTAATCTGCTTGTTTGCGTTAATGTCATTGGAATAAGTTATCATTTTAATAAGTAATATGTGGTTAAAATATATTGTCTGTATTATCCACAGTCCCAGTACGCTTTGTTTCGACTCTACACGGCGCAGCCCAGTTTGCGTACTTTTCCATCAAAAACAGTACCCCCTAGTATGTCCTCAGCGTTGTCAGACCACGTCATTTACGCGTGACGCATAACTAATATTGGTGCGGTGCATGGAATTATTATAATATCAGACGAACAGCAAGTGTTTAATAAATAATTCAGCACAGCACGAGTGGTTGTTGAAAATGCTTGTCTTAAAGGCGCTATACCCGTTTCTGCAATGTTTGAATGTTTAGCACCGCCCCCCAACTCGCTCAATGGCTTCTCATTTCCCCTACGCTCTCATAACACAGAGCCACCTAGTTTTATTTGCGATCTGATACATATGCTAACATTAGCATTAGCGCAACTTCTTGTAAGCTGTGCAACAATCACTGATGGAATGGCACTAAAGCAATGCACTGCTAATACAATATATAAGTAAAAGAATACCATTAGTTTCGCGTCCAAATGTATTAATTTAAAACCTTAGAATATATTCTAATATTTAATTATAATGTTAGTATTAGATAGCAATATGGCCTACGTGCAGGACTGTACAAGGACTCTACAAGGACTCCATGTTATGACTATGATGTGACTGTCTCTTTGTGACACGTATGTCTTTCCATGTGTGACGTGACAATGACTATATAAACTGTGTACTGCCTTTATTCTGTCTGAGAGAGAGAAACAGAGTAAACCAGTGGAACTTGAGAGAAACTTAAATAAACTTCCAGAGTTTGGCACACCACGATCCGTCTCTTTCTGCCTAATCCTGACAGATTTGGTGGAGAATGCGCGGCTCAGTGTGTGCCATTCTCTGGATTGTTTTGAGGGAGTTTTCTTTGTTTCTTTTTCTCGGCGTGGGAGAGCTGAGAGTATCGGGGGCCTGGGAGCGGTCCAGCAGGCTGGAGAGGCGACCGGCTTCGGGACTCTTTTTCGCTCTCTCACTATATTTTTTTGTGTCCTGTTTTTTGGACTTAGCGTTTCAAATTGTTTTCCCATGTCCACATTCCGGGGATTTTTGACGTGCGATTGGTCTCTGCCGATGGAAACTAGTTCCCGGTACTAGTGAGCGCTGGTTCATGATCTGGAGACCCGGTTGGACGTGGAAAAGCTGATATTTGGTGGACTTCTGACGGTGCCTGGGCCCTGTTTGACAAAAGGTAAGAGCGGACACCTGTTTATTCAAAGTCTGCTAATTGAGTGAACTAAATTATGGTCTGTTTTGAGGTCCACCAAATGTCGTATATCTATATAGATCGGATTAGGTAAGATTCAGGTAAGCCACCTCGATAAAATGGCAGTGTAATTGATCATCAGGTCCGCCACCTCGATAAAATGGCAGTTTAAATGATCAAAACAGGTTGCTACCTCGACAAAATAGCAGTTACGGCCAGAATAGTTAGTGAAACCATGGTGTAAAAATTAAAAGCAATTTTTTAAAAAGGGAAACGTGTTAAGGAGGCCTTTTGTCACAAAAAGTTTTGTAATTAACCAATTCCAGGCTTGATAAATGACAAAAGTAAAGAAGCAACAATATTTCAGTGATCACGGTTTAAATTACATACAGAAAAAGGGAGTTTTTGTTTTTGGAGTGAACGGAGTTCACCGGAGAATGCAGAGTTTTATCTAAAGTTGAGCTATGAGAGCTTTCATGAGTTATTTACATTTTTTGCCGAGTTTTATCTACAGTTAAGCTATGAGAGGGTTGTATCCAACAGTTGTTTTGTTTTTTAGAAAGAGATTTTGAGTTTAAACTAGTTTGCTACCTCAATAAAATAGAAGCGTAAACGTTAAAGACAAAAGTGCCTTTTGTTACTAGTGTGGAAAGTGATCACTTCTAGACTTGGATGACAAAAGTATAAACATCAGTTATATTCGCTTAACAAAGTAATCTTGAAAGTTATTCTTCTTTCTGTTTTTGCATTTTTGCTAAAACACTACTTTCTGCCTGTGTGTGCGTCGCTCTATCTTGCTGCCGTTGTCAGGGAAACGGCCCCCTCCTTTGCTGCTCTGGCTCTGAATCAGAGCTACTGCTTTTAGGATTTTGGCTTTTATTAAGTTTTTAAATTTGCGAAATTTGCCATTGAACATTGTGTTATGACACAGTTAAACGTTTTAAACACCATTTAGTGAATAGAAGTTTTGAATTAGTATGTTTTTTGAAATCCAAATATTAGTGCTAAAGCTGTGCAATTCTTTTTAGACCTAACATATTTCTAGATTCCATTCTTTTTAAATCTGCTGCTTATTTTTTGAGTCCATTATTGTATCTGATATTTCATAGCTGTTAGTGAGAATCTTTTCATGTATTTTTTATTTTAGTTACAAAAGCCGTTTTTCAAACATTTAAATTAGAATCTGTGTTAAAAGTGATTATTGATTATAGACTTCGTCTAAAAAAGAAAGAGGGAAAATTAGAATTAGCTGTAAAAGTATTATATTGAGTTCTGAATTAGCTGTAAAAGTATTATATTGAGTTCTACCCAATTCACCTTGCAAGTGGCGACTTTTGTTTTTGTTTTGACTACACGCCTGACCTCAGAAAGGGCAAGCACTATTTGCGACTCACGGCAACTTCCGGTGACTCGCGTGACTCAGGCGCTGTGAGCCGCGACTCAGCAGCCAGAAGTTGTGGCTCACGGTTATCAATTTAGCTTTTTAGGGGTATCTGTTGATTATCAATGACACATTGTGGATCTGGAGGCATATATTTACAAGTAACCAGTATGTTACACACTCTTCATCATCTGGTATGTGTTTATATAGCTCTCCATGTTCGTTAACCACTGACTCAGGAGCTGTGAGTCGCGGCTCAGGAGCTGTGAGTCGCGGCTCAGGAGCTGTGAGTCGCGGCTCAGGAGCTGTGAGTCGCGGCTCAGGAGCTGTGAGTCGCGGCTCAGGAGCTGTGAGTCGCGGCTCAGGAGCTGTGAGTCGCGGCTCAGGAGCTGTGAGTCGCGGCTCAGGAGCTGTGAGTCGCGGCTCAGGAGCTGTGAGTCGCGGCTCAGGAGCTGTGAGTCGCGGCTCAGGAGCTGTGAGTCGCGGCTCAGGAGCTGTGAGTTGCGGCTCAGGAGCTGTGAGTCGTGGCTCACAGTTAAAATACAGCATATTTTTGCTTTTTAGGGGTATCTGGGAATTTCTAATGAGACTATATGGATCTGGAGGCATAGTTTACACGCCTACTTCACGACACGCCTCTGTCCTGCAGGCCGCAGAATGACTACTTCGAACCCGCAGCAACACCTTTTTGAACAGGTGTGGGCTTATTCTATACATTAGCACGTAGCTCAACATGTCCTTCCAGTGATGTGCGGCACCACTCTGCTGCTATTCATGACTGAGCTGTATATGTTCCTGTATTGGGAGACAAAGTAACAGCTCATGTGGAAACAAATGTTCATGTTATAGTGCAATGTGTGCAAATGTATTAGCTACAGCCAAGTGCAAAACTGAAATGTATCAAACCTAAACCAAATCTTTATTCTTTATAATTGGTCTATTAAAGTGAATTACGTTGTGCATTTTTTTATAAAGTTTGTTTTCCTTCTCTTCTGTGTGTGGCTCATCTTGATGTGTCGTCTCAGTAGTTCTGTAATTCAAGAATAACCGGTTAACTACACTTAATTTTTGCATAGAAAAGAAATGAGAGAAAAGAGGCATTAAGGAGAAAAACATGTCTTGATGGCTGCAGCATGACACCTGTATTTCCACTGCATTTGTATCCTGTATAATGCTCCAGGATCAGATGTTTAAAGGGTATAAGGGAGCTACACTTTTTGGAAACCCTAAAACATTTGATTCAGGATGATCACGGCAGTTATGAGGGAAAGTACAGGTGCCATGCAGCAGTCATACAGCCACTGGGCCACCAAAGGCTCAAATAAGCATCTTCAAACATTTCACCACAACAGAAGTTACTTGAATTCTGTATTTTGAACATCTGGGTTCGGTAACATGATCATATAAAATTATGTCATTAGGGTCTTTCTCTTTAATTCTCTATTTACAATAGTAAGTCCACCTCAGCACACTATCCTCTAAAGTTAACAATAATCATTTTTTTTAGAATTAAAATGCCCTGAAATGAAATGCCCTGATGCTTGTGTTTGTTCAAAGACAAAGAAATCTCTACTCTGGGTTCTTGGCTCACTTTGTCATCCACATTATATTACTATAAGGACAAATTGGTACAAGTGGCTTTTATAATTGTGTTTGTTTGTGTATTGTATGTATTTTTTCAAATGCCTTTAGCATTATTAATAAATAACAAATAATAATGTCTCAGTGGTTTTTTAGTTATTTATTTCTTATGTGACCAAACCTGTGTTATACACCTTGCCTCATCTTTTGTCCTATGGAGTATACACTCTGCTCTGTATCTGCAAGTTTTGTGTATTCTTTGAAGCCACAGAATTACAACCAAGGAATTTTACACAAGTTTTTTTTTTTTTTCCTGTTTAAATGTCATGCCCTTTAAAATGTTAAAATGATTAAAAGACAGATTCCAAAAAACGAAACAAAATAACCTACCTCAATATTTTGGTGAAATTTAAATTGCAAGCGAGATGTCCAACGTCGTGCATGATTCAACATGAGATTAGACAGCGCCCCCTGGTGTCAGCAGACGAGTCCTGACTTATGTCTCGTAAGTCACTTGTTAACAATAGAGTAATACAAACACATATCAGCTGGTAAAGTATGTATGAGGCACTGAGGACATGGAAAATGTTCATCCAGATACATTAATAATTCATAAATACTCCTAAAAAGTCTTTTTCATTAGAATATGAAATAAGCCCTGCAAATACATGTAATAATCTGTATTTAGGCCTGTATCACTTAATCAACCACTTGCACTATGACTGTAAACCTGCGCTGCTAATACTGAGTCTGTTTATTTTACTAAGGATGCACCAATACCAATATTAGTATTGTGCCGTTTCCACATACTTGTGCCGTTTCCACATACTTGTGCTCATACTCATTCATGAGGTCCCATGACTGTATATAAGATACCACGATGGGGCGTCTTGCTTCAGTGGGAGCAGGTGGTTGTGGGGGCACGACCCCACGATCATTAGGTCCAAAGACCAAAGCTCTGCCAATTGAGTCACTGTTGCCCCTAATAATTCCCAGATACCCCTAAAAAGCACAGATTTGTGGTATTTTTAACCGTGAGCTATGACTTCTGACTGCTAAGCCGCGACTCACAGCTCCTGAGCCGCGACTCAGGAGCTGTGAGTCAGTGGTGAACAGTTCATAGAGATCTATACAAACAAATACCAGCTGATGAAGAGTGTGTAACATACTGATTACATGTAAACTATGCCTCCAGATCCATATTGTCTCAATAGAAATTCCCAGAAACCCCTAAAAAGCAAAGATTTGTGGTATTTTTAACTGTGAGCCTCGACTTCTGACTGCTGAGTCGCGACTCACAGCTCCTGAGTCAGTGGTTAACGAACATGGAGAGCTATATAAACACATACCAGATGATGAAGAGTGTGTAACATACTGGTTACTTGTAAATATATGCCTCCAGATCCACAATGTGTCATTGATAATCCACAGATACCCCTAAAAAGTTAAATTGATAACCGTGAGCCACGACCCCTGAATGCTGAGCGTGAGCCGCGACTCAGAGCGCCTGAGTCACGCGAGTCACCGGAAGTTGCCGTGAGTCGCAAATCGTGCTTGCCCTCTCTCCCTGACCTTCCTCCTGCTGCTGATGCCACAGCAGAGGAGCCTGGTCTAAAATGTGCTCCAATTCATATTGACTTCATTTGAAAAATGCTGCAATTATTTTAAATTAGTAGAATAGATGCTGAGATAAATGTTCAAGATAATTAAACACACAGTACAAAAGTACATAATACATATTTTAAAGTTTGAAGATTTTTGAGATTTGAGTCTTGTTTTTTATATTAAGAGTTTCTGGTTTTAAAAAGTTTCACATTAGTAAGAACTAATAAGTAATCTTTATTTACATAGCACATGTGGGAAAGCCAGAGCGCTCCAAAATTGTTTAGACTTTAGAGAGAAAAACAATCTCATTCACAATCTCTGTTGTTTTTAATTTGACTATAAGGTTGTGTTCCAGAACCAAGGGCACACACTGTACAGGGTCACTGGACAGCAGGAGTGGACACTGAGAGCTCAGAACAGTGGCCCAGAGTAGACACCATCCAACCAGCCGCAGATCGTAAAGGCGACATAGCTACCTCCGTGTGCCCCTCCCCCACTACAGACCGATGGTCGTAGGTGGCAGTGAGACCGGGGCCACAAAGTGAGGTTTTCTGTAGGCAGTGGTGGGTGAGTTGTTTTGCAATCTGGAAGTGTGCCCACTTTGATTGTTTACATCACCACAGTGTGACCTTTGACACCTACAGGTGGTTCGAGGAGTCTGGAGACACAACCCCAAAATTCACACCCTACACACACACACACACACACACAATCATACACTCACACATTCACATCTACATATAGATACATGAAAAAGCAGAACATGAGAAAAAGCATTTTAAAAGTTTACTCCAATGTAAACACATTTTTAATTGTCTATCACTTGAATCTTTAGTTGAATCAGTATTTTTGAGACCAGAAATGTTAATTTGAATTCTATATTGTCATGGACATAATTGACGTCTGTCCTGACACTTTTGATTTGTTGATCTTGTACTGTGTGAAGTAATTTGGGGGGGCGACAGTAGCTCAGTTGGTAGAGCATTGGCCTTCAGGCCTGAAGGTTGTGGGTTCAATTCCCACCTCTGCACCTTCTCCACCGACTCCCACTGATGACTGCTGTCGTTGTGTCCTTGGGCAAGACACTTAACCCCACTTTGCCCAAAAAGCCCCCACTGAAAGATCAAGGCTATGCTCACACTCAGAGAGCAGCCGTCCTCCTGTGGACTCACCACCTGCAGAGGGTCAGTGAGGGGCTGGTGCTATGAGACTTGGGTGGCATCTCTGATTGCCACCCCCCTGACCCAGAAATGGATTAAAGGGTAGAAAATGGATGGATGGATGGATGAAGTAATTACATTGATTAGTATTAGATATGATAAAAATACAAATTAGAGAAGTAAACTGCGCTTGCTTTTGTCTAAGGGACATTAGCAACAGCATGAATAGAAATTGTCTTTAAAGTAGAATCAAAGTGACTTAACCATAGAGAGTAACTACTGCATAACAAGCTGTGTACAGGAACTGAGACACTGCACCATTGACCAGAAGTGCATCGCAAATGACCTGATGTGCTTCAAGTGAAAAGACTGTATCTGGAGATCCGATGTGCATCTGGAGGGACCAAAACCATGGCTTGGACCCTACTGATGTCCAAGATGACATCTCTCTAGGACCTGACCTGATGACGACTGAGACTCACCCTCAGGGGACCCTGAGGATCTGAGGACCTGAGGACCTGAGAGAGAAAAACCTGGGGAGTGATTGTTTATATTTTTGAAATCATACATTGATGAGTGCTAAATGAGAGAGATACTCATGATTCTTCTTTTGTTTTTGTTTGTCCCTAGCTTCTGGACATCTGATGATCTATTGGACACAGCCATTTGCAGAACAAGAACCAGCCAATGAAAAACGTCTATTGCCGATGCTATTGCTACAACCACAACTGTGACAAATGCAATATACATGTTAAGTATTCAGACATCTGACAGACAAAAACTTTGACTTTTTTGTCTGGGAGACTGAGCAACTGTTAAAATGTGTTAAAGTGATAAAGTATGAGTATTGTAGCGTTTTATTAGATGTTAAATAGTAGTAAAAAAGTAGAATTGTCCTTCCTTTGTTTTTCATAAACACATTTCCACATAAGAGTTAAAATAGTACCATATAATGTTATCTCTGATAGAGCAGCTAGAATATTAGAATCAGAGTTATTTTAGAGATATTAAAAGTGACAGAAGTCACAAATTAGGAATATGCCTTTGCTCAAGCTGCAGCCGAGCTTTGGAGTTAAAAAATAGCGTAAAAATAGGAATAGATAAATGCATCAACCATAGATGCTTTCAAAAATAGAGAATATTCTTAGCCAGTGCTAATATTTGAATGGTAAAGGGACCATT